AACCCAACCGGTACCAGCTGGGGTCCCTTCAGCTTGTTTTCCAAGTGATTCACTATACCCTAAGCCGGGGAGATTTCTCTTGAATAATCTTGCACCTCAATTGCTTACTTTACCCTCAGCCGGTTATGCACCGCCTGGGTTATAACTAGACAATTTAGACTTCCTTTCCATACGCCCCCATCCGGTTTTGCACCGTATGGGATACCTCTGAACAATTTATAGCTGCCCTTTGAATAGATACACAGCCGAGAACAGACTGCCTAGGACCCTCATCCGGTTGTAGGCCACCTAGATTATTTGAGAACAATTTGCTATTTTATTTTCGTAGACCCTCATCCAGTTGTATACCGCCTGGGTACTTCTGAACCCATCCACTAGATACCGTCTGGGGTATCTTGGAGTGGACTTCACAAATTGCCTCTTATCATTCTAAACAACCACAGGCGGTTAATTCCGTCTGTGGTATTTTTGAGTGAGTTTATAGAGAACCCGCTGATTTTTATCTTGCTTTTTCAGCTTAAAACACATCCGGGTTCTACCATTCGAGGCATCTTCGAGCCACTCTTTTCAACTATGGTTGTCTTCATCAACTATACTTAAAGGTACAGCTTTCATTTTCGCTGTTCTTCTTTTAAACTTCCCATTTCCCGGTTGTGTAGTTTGTATAGAGTAAATGGGGTCTTTCAAAACACACACGGCACAGCCTACGACTGAGGTCAGCCGGTCACTTGAGACGGCTGAGTCTAGGACTGGGGATGCCGTCTAGGGGTATTTGGATCACCCTTCATCTACCTCGAATCCGACCGTCTCTATTCATGTGCAGGACAGAATGGCTCGGACTAGATGGACGACAACAGATCCCGACTACAAGTCTGATGACGCAACCGCCGACCCGACTGTACCCTTAAACGAAGACCAGGCCAAAGTGCCATCTGATAGAACATCTCATGATGCGCCGGGTGCCCCTAGTACCCCGAATGACAGCATCCTTTATGATATCTGACTCAGCCGACGAGGAATCCGGCGAAGAGTCTAACTCTGAGTCTGCAGAGGCAGCCGCTCCCATTGATGAGGAAGCCTACAAGTGGCTGCCTGCAGGCAACCCAACTGAGGCCAGCATGACTGTCAGAGATGTGGTCACTTTAAATGCCACATTCCCTGCTTTTTTGGAGAAGAAGTCGGTTGGGGAAGGATGGGAAATAGTAGTACCGCCTGTAGAGGCAACTGTTGTTTGGGAAGACGACATTGAGCATGCCGACAACTATTTCGGCTGCTATGAGGCGGCATTCAAAGCCAACCTCCGGTTCCCCCTCCACCATTGCATAAAGGCTATTTTACGAGGGTATAATCTGGGTGTTTGGCAGTTGACCCCCAACTCATGGGTCAACATTCTTGGATATATTGCCGCCTGCGAGATACAGGAGGTTAAGCCCAGCTGGGAAGCTTTCGCACATATGCACTATCTCAGCCGGGCGCCGGGTGGATGGAATGCGTGGTATACTCTAACCACGCACCCGGAATACATGATGACTTTGGACAAGCCATCCAAATGGAGCAGTTGGAAGAGAAAATTTTACGCCGTTTCTTCACCAACTCCTCAACTAAACCGCCGGCTACGTAGATATAATAAGAACCCGACTTTGCTCGGGAAGAAGTGTGCTCTCCCAAAAGTGCCGAGTGAGGCGTGGGATCAGATCATGGAGAGGGGTCTCTTTAAAAAGACAACTCTCCGCCTGAATGATGGGAGCGAGATTATAGTTCCCTATTCTGGGTGCCCCACCCAGACTGGTTCAAGGATGAGGCATTTCTTTTTGCCTGTAACCTTAGCACCATGTTCACCAAGAGTAGGTTTTTTGAATTTAACCGGCCTTTGCCGCCTGATATGGCTAACTTGTACTATATTTAAACCAACTTCTTTGTGTTTGCAGAAGTAGCTATGGACAAGCTACCCAAAAAGAAGACTCCGGCTACAACAGCCGCTTAGCTCCGGAAGGAACAAATTGAAAAGAAGAAGTCGCAACTTGCGGCTAAAGATGGCGGGGTAACATATTTCTCAAACCTTTTTCGCCGGCTGTAGCACTTGTATGTAAATTGGCCACTAACCGCTTGTCTTTTGCACATTTTCAGGCCGGGAACAAGACTGTTCCACGCTCCCTGTCCAAAATGATGAAGAGAACGGCTGGGGAGCTACCTCAGCCACTGGCAAAAGTGCCAAGGATGCCGACTCTTGCCCCGGCTGCAGGTGCTCCTACTAAACCGCCTGCAGTAGACAGGCCTACTTCTGCAGGCAAGAGCCTGCGAGGCATTGTCCCGACCTTCGAAATGGTGGTCGAGGAAATAAGGGAGCCGGAGACTCCGTCTGGCGAGGCCCAGACGGGCACTGGCTCCAATGCGGCTGGGGGTGATCTTACCCCACAGTCCGATAAAGGTACGACTTTTGCCTTTGATCCCCCCTGGCCGTTTGGGCCTATGAGGGTCAAGACCCAAGCTTGCCAATCCGGGGATTCTTTTGGCTGCCGTCAGAATATTGGCACATTGTATGCTGAACACCTGATAGATCAATCTCTAATTGCAGATGCTTCCTCCAGCCGGCCTAACTACCAACAATATGCCAAGAGAATGATCCGGACCCTCACCCGGTCTGAGAAGGAGGCAGTACCGGCTGTGCATCAAGTGAACATCGATCGTATCATTTCCCTTCTGGCCGAGGTAATTGACCGGTTGCACCATCTTATAATTTCATTGTTTGCCGTTTGGGTTTGTTTGGATAATTCTAACATTTCATCACCGGTTGATATCTCAGGTGATGCTAAGGGTTGATGGGCTCCAAGTTCCCTTGCGCAAGAAGCAAGAGGAGGTAAGGGATGCCTAGAGATGGGCATCTGAGCTCATTCATGTTTCCCAATTCAATGCCACTAGATATGAAATGGAAACTAAACGAAGGGAGTTAAAACAGGAGGAGCTTTTAAAACAAAATGTTGTTGCTGCTGAGGCGGCAAAATTGAAGGCAGATGAGTTAGCGCTGCAAGTCGAAGACCTCCAAGCCGATCTCAAGGCTTTGGAGGGAGCTGACAAGGAAAACACCGACCTTCGCTTGGAAGTCAGCCGGCTCAAAAATGAACTTGCTTCCAGTCAGGCGGCTCACAAAGATGAGTTAGAAAAGGAACAACGCCGCCTGATTGCTGAGAATGAAACCGACTGCGAGGAGCGCATGAAGCTCGCCTGGGGGCTCATTCACCCGGACTTTGACTATGAATTCTTCGATCTTAGGTACAAGTATGCCTCAGAGGTATACGATGCCAAGGTACTTGGCCTGAACCCGCCTGTTCCTTTCGAAGAGTGGGTCGGGCTAGTCGAAGAAGGTGATCAGCAAGAGGGTGAGCAGCAGGCGCAACCTCAAGAGGAGGTGGCTGTCATCCAAGGTGAGTCGGCTCAGCAGCAGGAGCAGCAAAAGCAACCATAGACTTCTTTATTTTTCTTTTACCGGCCTGTGAGCCGTGTGTTTTAATGTATTTTCCCCGGACAAGGGTTCGGCTGACATTTGTTCATTCCTATATATATTTACCGACACAGTCGGTTTGCTTTATTTTGAAATTGTCTTGCAATTTTACAAGTACTATAACTACAAATCTTAATTTTTTCTTAATTAATTTTTTCGGATGTTGCAATTGTAGTATGCCCCTAAACGATTGTTGGTTTTTGATAAACTTTAAATAAACAGCCGTTCATAATAACACTGCAAATACTCTGTACATGGTTGCAAAAAAGAAGACCGTCTGTGATGTTCAAGCAGCCTAGACCGTCTGTACTATTTTTGGGTAAGGCCCGTATGCTATGTGTTTGAGTAATGCCGGTTACTTTGACCAAGATTTCAATATGCCGTCTAACCTGTTTTGTAGTAAAGCCCGGCTGTCTCTTGAGTACAATGAATCATTAGAACGACTTTTTATAACCTCAACTGGTTTATGCCGTTCAAATTTGATTACTAGAACGTATCACCCGGATGGGGGATTTTCTGCTAGGCGACTTCACCCAAGTAGGTGTCGTCGGATGTCTATTTAGTTAAAAATAGACTTCAATATTATTGTTTATACTTCTGCCAAATTTAGGCATTTACCGCCTGTGTGTTTCACAGGACTTTTTATCTTATGTACAAATGGTTTATTTTAACCGTTTTCACCAAGATTTCAAACACGCCGTCAGTACTACTTAGAAGTAAATACCGGCTGTATCTTGGATGCAATGGATCATTCAACCGGCCATATATTTTCTATAACCTCAGTCGGTTAATGTCATTCGAGTGGTGATCGCTAGAACAATGTACCACCCGGAAGGGAGCTGTTCTCTTCAACAATTACCCAAATAGGTGTTGCCGGATGTCTGCTCTTTTTGGAGAAGACGGTTTTAATTAATAATATTGATCTTTCGGTGTTTGTTGCACCGGACGAATACAAATACAACAAAGAAATAATGTATTTCTCATTCAATATACAAATTTACAAAAAATACGAAAATACAATTTTTCTCAGAAGTAGTACTTTTTCAAGTTGTCTACATTCCAAGTACGAGGAAGTTCCCTGCCGTTTGGGGTTTCTAGATGGTAGGTACCATTTCTAACTTCTTCAAAAATCCAGTAGGGGCCTTCCCAATTGGGAGTTAGTTTCCTTTGTTCATTAGCCCTACCGGTTGCCTCAAGCTTTCGTAGCACCAAGTCCCCAACTTTGAGGGGCCGCTTGTATACCCTCTTGTTGTAATCTCTCGTCATTCTCAGGCGATAAGTCTCTTGACGTAAGGCAGCATTGCCCCTTCTTTCCGGGAGAGTGTCCAATACTAGGCGCATGGCTTCCCAGTTTGCTTCTTCATCAGAGAGCATGATTCAAAGTGTTGGTTCATATAACTCAATAGGAAGGACAGCTTCTGTGTCGTATGCCATGAAGAATGGGGTCTCGCCGATTGCCCCTTTTTCAGTTGTTCTGATGGCCTAAAGGACGTGAGGTAGCTCATCCGCCCATAGCCCATAGGCCGTCAACCCTACCAACCGGATGTACTACTCCTCCCCCAAAACCAACTAAAGGGTGAGGAGCTTGATGCATGCTTCCAGACTTATACTTGAGTTTTGTCAAGCACTGATAGCTTATGAGATCAAACGAGCTCTCGGTATCTATGAGGATCCGGCCTACTCGCTGATTAGCTATCTTACATTCAATGACTATGGGATCATCATGAGGCTGCCTGACCTGGCCCTGATCTTTTTCAGAGATGAGAACCTCTGGGAAGGCGTTTTTAGACGACTGACCCTCATCAACTGAATTAACCAGCCTCCTAATATTGTCCTTGGCTCCCCGGATTGTAGGATCCCTACCAGCGAAACCGCGTGCTATGGTGAAGATTGTTTCCTCATTCGTGTTAGAATGGCCAGTCGGCGTTTTTGACGGCTGTCCTTTGATCTTCTTGGGGGTATTCTTGGACTTGGGTAGGTAAGATTTCAATGCCCCCTCATCAGCCAAGCGGTCAAACAACCGCCTAAGACTGAAGCAACCTTCCGTATCATGACCAACATCCTCATGAAAGTGGCAGTATTTACTTTTGTCCCGACTGTTGACGGGACTCTTCATTGTTGCCGGCTTCTCAAGTTTCAACCGGTCTCTTACTTCCTTTAGAATGGAGGTGCAGTCCTTTGTAAATTCATACTTCGGAACGTATGGGTCTGATCTCCTTCCTTTTTTCTGGGATGGCTGACCAGCAAGTTCCGCCGCCCATACTTCTTTCCTTTTACTTTTCTTCTTTGCCGGCTGAGTAGGCCGGCTCTCTCTCTTGTCAGCTTTCTTGAACTCTGATGGAATTTTTACAGCACAAAGTTCTATCGCCTGTATATAGGCCTCGGCTTCCATCAAGGCCTCGTGGAGAGTGGAAACCTTCTTTCTAACCAGATCAAACTTAAAAGTAGACCCGTCTTTCAGACCCTTGAAGAAGTCTGTGTAGGCAACATCATCAAACAGCCCCTGAATCTGGATTCTCATCATATTGAACCGCCTGACATAGGACCTTAGTCCTTCCTTCTCTCCCTGTTGTATTGCCCCTAAATCAAGGATCGTCTTTTTAGCAAGAATGTTCATGGAAAAGTTTGAAGTAAACCAGTAAGCCAACGTTCTAAAATTTTTGATAAACCCGGCTGGCAAATTGCCAAACCACCGCTGGGCAATGCCTTTTAACTTAGCCGGGAAGCATCTGCACCAGGAGGCGTCCTCCAAACCCTGCAAATACATCAGGTTGGTGTAAGCCATGAGGTGATCTTCCGGATTAGTGGTACCTTTATAGGCACCGACCAATACGTTTTTTATTTTGGCCAGCTGTGCCGCCTCAGTTATATCCTTCGAGAACGCCGTGGGCTATTCACCAAGGTTTAGCAGGCGGAGCTGCCAGTCCATAGGCTGGGCATGTGACGGCTGACCCCCAAAGAGGGCCGACTATCTGTAGGGAGATCCATACGGCATGTATGGTTACCCATACGGTGCCGGTTAGATGATATTTGGGCCAAACCGCACGGAAACCTCGCGCGACTGACTTTCTCTGTTTGTCTCAGAATGCTGCATGGATGCATTCTGGAAACTGTCCGAGTAGGTCGACGTCGAAGCCGACGCGGATAAGTGGTGACTTCTCTTTTCCTGAATCAGAGTTCGAGCATCAGAGTAAGTCTTTTTTGATCCATCCGGCTGTATATGCCGGATGGGCTTCTTTATTCCCTCTGCAGGAAACAAAGTTTCGAAATGTTGATGATCCTATCCGTCGCATTTGTTTTTGGGTGAGGTGTAGGCATGCGATCTTTCAACGATTTGGGCGTTTTCTTTCCAGAACGAAGTTTTTCCTTCGCTTGACCCCCACGAGGGTTGGCTGATTTTTCAAGGAGGCTTTTGATCTCCCCTTTGAAACTCGTCATGAGGTTCAAGAGTTCGTCTCTATAGACTGGAGCGGCTCCTGCCGCGTGGGTTAACCCATGTGGCCTTCTGGTCGGGCTGCTAGGAGCAGCCTCCGTCTCACTCCGTTCCTTCCTTTCTTTGGAACGGGTGCGCTTAGTTCTCAAAGACCCGTCTGGGGCAGTATAAGTTTCAACCTCATAATTGTGACTTGTGTCTTGGTCCGAATGGACCTCGGGTTCGCCAGGAGGCCGCTTACCCCCACCAGGCGGTACAGGCTCAGAAGTCATCTAGGAAGTACTCTCCCTACAGACGGCGCCAGATGTTTCGGGGTTTTTTGATGCGTCCTGCGGAAGAGTTAGAATTCCTAGTATGCGCAGTCCGACGTTTGTACCTGCAAAATCAGGGAGACTCCGGCTGGGGGGTGGAGTTCCGCCTCCGATGATCAAATTAGAATGCGTCTAAGGTAAAATGTACTAAACAGTAAATACTTCTCGCTGATTGGGAGAATTCTGCAATTATTTATTGCTCGGGGTTTGTGTTTCGATTTGTGTGTGTAATAAATGTGGACTCCCCCACTATTTATAGTGGAGAACTTCATTTCCCAGTTTAGGGTTCAAAGAACATGTGTCGCAAAGGGATTGGAGCCTTTGCTGACCACTAAGGGGATGACGTGTGTCAGTGGCCTATTGGGCCACGTGTCTAGGGTAATTTTTACCCTAAACAAATAAATGGAAAAATAAATAACAAATTAAAATTTGATTCTGGTCTTCAAAGCTCGTTGACCTGGTAATTGTGAGCAATGCTTTGACTCTGAAGAATTCAAGCTTCTAATTCGGAATAATATCATATATGTTCTTAATGACAAAACTTAATTGTCAGTGTATATCTCTTACCATCTACTTCTTCTCGGCTATTCAAGCATCTTCATAATGACAACTAGATAGTAGACCAAATTTTAAAATTCTACTTTACTAATTAGTATATAAATACAGTGCTTGACTGACTCGTACACATAAATATATAATACCTTCTTTACCCACTATATAAATCTACAAACCACCCCATCTTAAACAATAGAAAAAAAAAATGATGAATCTTATAGAGTTAAGTACCAATAAAACATGGAAACTATACATAATTGGGAGCTTATTTGGAGGTTTGTTTCTCCTCATTTTCTTAAACCAAAACAACCAAGGTTTTAGCTTTTCCATTGCTCGAAACACCGTGCAATTTCCTTCACTTGATGAAGCTATTGCACCCATGTCTTCCTTCATTTCCGCGTCTCCGAAACAGTCTATCTTTATACCTTACACTCAACCACCTATAGCTAGCTTCATCGCCAATTTTAGTTCAATTCCACAAGAGGTACAAATAAAGTCGTCAACTCAACTCAATTATGTCGAAAACTCGAATTTCCTTGTAAACATAACAAAAGACGTAACAAACAAGACTAATATTGGTACGAAAAGTTGCAATATGTTTGAAGGGCGTTGGGTGTACAAACCGGATGAGAGTCCTAGTTATGATTCGATTTCGTGTCCGTTTGTTGAAGAGAAAATGAGTTGCCAAAAGAACGGGAGGCCGGATTTTGAGTATGAGAAGTGGAGATGGGAAGCTAACGATTGTGATATACCATTGTAAGTATGTGAATTTGTTAAATTTTGAATCAAATTTTGTTACAAATTACTCTTTTGAAGTATTATCATAATTACTTTTTAATTGCATGCATGAATATTAATTTAGTTTGTTTATTTATTTATTTTAGATTCAATGGAATAGATATGCTCGAAAGGCTTAGAAACAAGAGGGTGATAATTGTTGGTGATTCGTTAAACAGAAATATGTGGGAGTCTCTTGCTTGCCTTATATATTCATCTGTTCCTAACTCCAGAGCTGAAGTTTATAATAAAAATTCACAATTTTATTGGCTGAAAGCAAAGGTAAACAAGAATCAAATAGTTTTATATAATTCAGTCATTCTTAATTTTTTCAATTAGCTAAAATAATTGGATTTTTTTTTTTACTTTTACCACCAAAAAAAATCAAAAAATTATTTTTTAGTCAAAACTTCTAAACTTTTATTTTACCACCAAATAAAAAATTAAAAATAGTTTTTTAACAACCTGCCATCAAAAAAACCGATAAACTTAATGAAATTTTTTAAAATTTTCGATTTTCGTGCCTACAGAACCAATTTGAAGTCAAAATTGACAAAAAATGATCGTAAATGGCTTGTTTTTTCTACTTAAAAATACCTCATTTTGCGTGAAACACACAAAATGAGACATTTTCAATCATTTTTTTTGTCAATTCTGACCTCAAATTGGATCCAAAGGACCAAAATGCCCCCCTAAACCTATGAAGAACGTGTTTTGCGCACGACGATCGAATATTTTTTTTTAACCGTTAGATTTAACGGTTTTCTTGACGGTATGTGGTAAAAAATAATTTTTACAATTTTTTCGGTGGTAAAATAAAAGTTATAGAAGTTTCGGTGGTAAAAAACAATTTTTTGATTTTTTTTTTTATGATAAAAGTTAAAAAATTAAAAATAATTTACATAATTTTTTTTAAATGGGAAAGTAAAATGAGATCAAAATAGTATCATTTGGTTTTTTAAAGGTTGATGCTCATGTAATTCAATTTATCTTGTATTATTGAAGGATTATAATACGATAATCGAGTTCCATTGGAGTCCATTCCTAATCGAATATGATGTAAACCATAGAAGTGGGAAAAGAGTTCTTATACTTGATAAGCTTTCGCCCAATTTCAAGCAATGGCAAGGAGCCGATGTTATGGTATTCAACTCTGGGCATTGGTGGAATCACAAAGGAAAATTCCAAAAGTATGTAACTATAGCCTTTATTACGTTCATAATTTACTTTTGTATTTTGAGTTCATAAACTTATCTATATTGCTTTGTTTTATAAATAATGTTGTAGTTAGAGGTGTTAAAAACTGTCCTGATCAATCCGATTCGAATTAACCCTAATAAATCCGGTTAAAATTTCGACTCATCATATAGATACATCAATTTAGAATCACTTAAATTTGAAATAGGTACCAAACTCAATTAAGTTATTTAATTTGACACCTTTAATTGTAATATACAATGACAACTTTTTGTTATATTTTGTAACCTAATCTTGTGATGTAGAAAGATGCAGAGAGTTGATGCATGTTAGGACAAATAGAACTAGATAAACGTAAATGGGTGAAATGGATTATATTAATCTGTTTGGATAATTAATTAATCGAGATAAATTTTTAGTTCATGCTATCAATCCAATAAAACTTTGGAATTGTCACCGCCTTTATTTTACATGAGCAAATTTCATTATGTGAGTGGGAAAAAATTGTGTAGGTGGAGGCAATAAATATGATGTAGGTGCTTAGCTTTTTCAAAGTTATTAAAAGAAAGCCTTGGCTTTTCCATATTCAAATTGTGAACAGAATTGAACAACTTTATACAAAAGTGTATCATTTCATCAACCTAAAAAGTTGACTATCAAGAATAATGTACTTAATATAGATATTCCTTAAATTGCTTAAAAACAATTATACGTACTCCGAGTAATATATAGGTAAGTTGAGTAGGAGTAAACACTTTATCTACATGACTACATAATTCAAGAAAACTACAATTCCAAAATGGTTGAAAAAGTTAATTAATATATGTGGTTGAATAAAAGATTCATGTGACAACTACACATGTAATTAGCTTTTAATTTACATGAAAAATGATTTTGTTAGGGATAAATATAAATATACAATAGTAAGTTTAAGAGTTAATATAAAATCCTCTCATACTCTACATAATCACCCCACTTATTCGACCAATTGTCATTGATCGGTCACATTTCATGAAATCATAACCTTGCCAAGCTAATGACACATTGGTATTAAAGGTATCACCGACGTAAAATTGCAAAAAAAAAAATTAGCAATTTGTGACAAAGTGGTGTATAATATATTATTAGATGAAATGCGTGATGCACGATTTATTTGTATTTTTAAAATAAATATTTTTTATATTTATGTGATAATGTTTGTTATATATTTAGATAAATTTAATAATCTCAAAAGATAATATTTTATATTTATTTAATTTAAATTTGTTTTTTTTTAAAAATAAATGTTTTCTGTATTTATGTATTCGTTGTACGTAGTATATCAATTATTTTTTTTTATTTTAAAATAAGTTGTGAATTTTCTCTCATTCGTTATATATTTTGATAAATTTTCTAATCATAAAAGATAATGTTTTATATTTAATTAATTTAAACTTTAAAATCTCATTTGCCAATTTTGTTTATGTGGCATTTAAATTAATTAATTCTAAAATATTTTACAAATCTCTTATCTAATTAGTTCTAAATAACATTTATAATCCTACATGGCGCGATAAGAAAATTAAATCCTACGTGGCTCTCCATAAATTCGGAAAAAAAACTCCCCTTTATATATATACTAGTTTTGTAGCCGGACGATGCCCAAATTGTTGATAAAATTTCAGTATAAACTTTTTTGCTTGAATGTTAAATACGGTTCTGCAATCCCTTTTGATAATGTAGGATATTTAGACATACAATATCGTATGGCTTATATTTATACAACACTGATTTTTTGTAGTTTTGTTTGTATTTAGATATCTATGTTATTATTGACTTGAAATTATTTTTACTAAACTGAAAGTATTTTTACCAAACTAAAATTAATTTTACTAAACTGAAAGTAATTTTACCAAACTAAAATTAATTTTACTGATTAAAACTTTTTTTTATTGATTATATAAAAATTAAGCTATATGATGGAAATAGAATTGAGTTATAGGATATTTATTAAAAGTTATGATTAATTTTGTATATATGAAATATTAGAAGTATATCGATAATAAAACTCTATACAACTTTTTTATCTTTAAAAATCTATTAAATTTCGTTTACTTAGCATCATATGTGTCACAGTAATACCTATTTGTCGCCTACATGGCGTGACACTTGGCGAAAAACTGGAATGCCAAGTGTTACTGTTTCAGGGCCTGGCTACGAGACCGGCTTTATTTATTAGTGACTAGTTTTATGCTCGGGCGATGCCCAGATGGTTGATTAAAGTTTAGGATAAACAATTTGAATTAAATGTTAAATAAGATCATATAATCCTTTTTGATAATGCAGGATATTTAGACATATGAATTGAAATATATTTTAGTGAACTTAAATTATTTTTACTGAATTAAAAGTATTTTTACCAAAAACAAAAATTATTTTTCATGATTAAAACTTAATTCACTAATTCCCTACTATTTTTGTAAATAAATTAAATATATTATAAATGGATCTTATTTTAAAGAACTTTTTAAAACGAATTTTATGATGGAAATAGTACCGAATTATAAGATATTTATTAAAAGTTATGATTAATTTTGTATATATGAAATATTAGAATTATATCGATAATAAAACTCTATACAACGTTTTTATCTTTGAAAATCTATCCAAACTTCGCTTACTTTTGTGCCCGACCGATGCCCGGATTGTTGATAAAATTTTAGAATAAACCTTTTGGCTCGAGTTAAATACGATCATATAATCCCTTTTGATAATGCAAAATATTTAGACATATGATATCATATCTCTTATTTATATAATAATGTACTTTTTGTAGTTTGTTTGTAAATAGATATCTATGTTATTCTTGAATTTTTTTTATTGAACTTAAAAGTATTTTTACCAAACTAATTTTTTTTTTATTCATACTTATTTTTTCCGATTTTCTATTATTTTTATGAATAAATTAAATATATTATAAATGGATCTTATTTTAAAGAGTTATAGGATATTTATTAAAAGGTATAATTAGTTTTGTATATATGGAATATTAGAAGTATATCGATAATAAAACTCTATACAACAATTTTATCTTAAAAATCTATCCAAAATCCTTACTCGGTATTATATGTGTTACAATAATATCTATTTATCTCCTACGTGACGCGACACTTGACGAAAAACTGAAATGTCAAGTGTCGCTGGCTCATAGCCTAATTATAAGATCGACTTTATTTGTTAGTAATATAATATAATATGATATAAATACCATATACTACTATTAGATTCGATCTCTGTTAGGCGCTATCTATAATTTTTTTCGTTTTCATAAATTAGTATCCCAAAAACATTTAAGTGGTAATATCGTGCAGTATGTAATAAATCGGTGCATTTTCTGAGCCTTATAACTAATTTATGTCTTAAATTCGTAGCACATGCATAGTATCATCTCCGTAAATATAGAAAAGGTAGTAAAAAAAGACAAATACTACATGGATTTGTCTTTGGAAATTGAAATCTTCACTTAATCATGTGCAATAGAAATTTTATTCTGTCCAAGATATTAAAGACAGACACAAGTGGGCACTTATTTGCAACATAAAGTTAGGTACTTCGAAAGTTGTATTTTAAATTTCATAAGAATCTCAGTTATCGAAATATAACAAAATTTTATTCAATAGTAGTTCAGTACTCCGTACTCCGTAGTTCTTAAGAAAGTGTTGTTCAGCTTGTTCTAATTCTATCTGTCAACAAAGAAAGAAAAGAGTTGACTCGATTGTTTTAGTGTTGAAAAATATTTATCATCTAAACCGTTTATTGTGTTTTTGTTTTGATTATAGTGCATGTCTTATGTCTTAAACTTTGAACATTAACTGTTGGGTATGGCCCAAATTTTATAAGCCCATTATTTTGGTCGAAGTATTATCCATATTCTAGAGGCTTTCGAAATAATATCCTACTTGAATTTTCTAGAATATTATGGACACAAGAAGGATGAAGAATTGAGGAAAAATCTAGAATAATTAAATGCCAATGAAAATTCTAGATTTATGTGGAGAGTTTAAAAATATCTACATATATGGAAGATTCCACACAAATCTTCCAAGCTCCATCTACACCTATAAATGTAGGTAAAGGGCATTCAAAACAACAACACAAATAACAACAACACAAAAACACAACACACGAAGCCATACCAAATACAAGCCTTTCTACAAAAATATTCTTCCTCATAATATTCCACTACTATCGTAATACTCCTTTGTGAGTACTTCTTATAATGAGAGTTCTCTTGTAATACTCACCCTCTCAAGAGTTCTTGTACTCTCCTACTTTCAAATAGTGGAATAGAAGTGTTCGTTGTTACATAAAATCGTGTGTTCATTTATATTAATTATCTTGCCAAATTATCAATTCAATTTATACTTCTCAATCAAACACATCTTCACCTCCGTTGTGCACTCACCAACCCTAACATTAACATATGTGAAGTATAATTAATTATGTTTAATGAAAATTATAAAATTTGATATTATTAAACAATTACTGAGACAATTTAAATATCATAGCACCTTTCCGACGAACTTTCCGACGGATATACGTCTGTCGGAGCTGATTTTGACTTAAATTGAAAGTCCGTCGCAACATTCCGACGAACTTTTTTCCGTCGTAAATGGGAAGGCTTCCGACGGAAAAGTCCGTCGGAATATCTTACGTTCCGACGGAATTAGTTCATCAGAAAAGTGGGTGTTCCGACGGAATTGTTTGTCGGAAATGAATACCTTCCGACGGATTATTTCGTCGGAAAGTAACAGGTTCCGACGGAAATATCTGTCGGAACCTGTTACTTTCCGACGAAATAATCCGTCGGAAGGTATTCATTTCCGACAAACAATTTAGTCGGAAGGTTCTTGTTTAATAAGCAGTAATTTAGCAATAATTGAATTATATAATTCGATTTTTCTCACCTATATCCTGCACCTAATTTGTGTTAATTTTGAATTGATGATTTAAA